ATGCCCTGTGAAAGCTGAGGCAAATCATATATTGAGAGAGGTCAGCACTTAGAAAAAAGGATATAAGACAGGGACAAAGTTTTAAAATATTATGTGGGGAGGAATAGAAGTGGGAGTTGAGAAACAGGACATAAAAGAGTGGCTGAGGAGCACAAAGGACCTGGAGGGGAGGTTGGAGACCACAAAGTATTAGTAGCAACCATTAGCACATTTGTGAAATTTCCTTCAGTAATGCACAGATATTCAGCTACAGGTGAAAAGAAAAGAATGGGTCAATATATTTGAGGGACTTAGTAGGACAGATATAACCATAGACAAGATGATATGGACGGTGGGGACTGCTGCCAGAAATAAATTAAATGATATACATATGTCCCTACATGTGGACTTCACCAGATGAAACACACAAGAATCAGATTGACTACATCTGTGGCAGAGGCAGTGGAAAAGCTCAATATCTTCAGCTAAAACAAGGCCAGGAGCTGATTGTGGAAGATACCATCAACTGCTCATATGCAAGTTCAACTTGAAGTTAAAGACAATTAAAACAAGTCCAAGAGAGCCAAAATATGATCTTGAATATATCCCTCCTGAATTTAGAGATCATCTAAAGAATAGATTTGATGCATTGAACACCAATGACTGAAAAACAGAATTGTGGGAGGATATCAAGAACATTATCCATGAAGAAAGCAAGAGATCACTAAAAAGATGAGAAAAGAAGAGAAGACCAAAATGGATGACAGAAGAGACTCTGAAACTTGCCCTTGAGAGGAGAGTAGCTAAAGCAAATGGAAGAAATGACAAGATAAAAGAGCTGAACAGAAGATTTCAAAGAGCAGCTTGAACAGACAAAACCAATTACCCATTTGTATCCATTCCAAAGAAAGATGATCCCACAGAATGTGGAAATTATAGAACAACATCATTAATATCACATGCAAGTAAGATCTTACTGAAGATTAATTCAAAAATGGTTGCAGCAGTATATTGACAGAGAACTTCCGAGGTGCAAACTGGATTCAGAAGAGGATGTGGAACAAGGGATATCATAGCTATTGTCAGATGGATCTTGGCTTAAGGCAAAGGATACCAGAAAGATGTTTACTTGTGTTTTATTGACTATGCAAAGGCATTTGATTGTGTGAATCATGACAAATTATGGATAAAATTGAGAAGGGGAATTCCCAAACACCTGATTGTACTCATGAGGAACCTGTACCTTGACCAGGAGGCTGTCATTCAAACGGAACAAGGCAACACAACTTTTTTTTTTTTTCTTAATTATTATTTTTATTGTGATTTGGGTGAAAGTTTATATAACAAATTCATTTTCTATACAGCCGTTCATACACATTGTGTTTCATGACATTTACTGCAATCCCCACAATGTAACAGCTGTCTTCCCACTTCTTCCCTGTAGTTACCTCTTCCCTGTATCCTTCTTTCCTATGCATTCCTGCCCCCTGAGCTATCTGCTTGTGAAAATACTGCCCTTCTGTTCTTCCATGATTGATCATTCTAAGGAGTGTATCTACCTGGTGTAAATGTTCACCTATACGCCTGTCTATTGTTTACCTAAAAGCAATGGGAGTGAGTTCAATTCCAGACCTGAAGGGTAACTAGGGGCCATAGTCTCAGGGGTCTCATCAGGGTCTCTCAGACCAATTAACCTGGTCTTTTTTATGATACTGAATTTTGTTCCACATTGTTTTCCGAGGATTTCCTGCACTGATCCCTTTCCAAGTGGTTGACAGTAGTAGTAGCCAGGCACCATCTAATTCCTTTGGTCTGATGGTCATATAGGTTGAGTTCACATGGTCCACAAGTACTCTGGACTAATTGTGTCCATGTGTCTTTGGTTTTCTTCATTCTGGATGAGGAGAGACCCATTGTTGCATCTAGATGACTGCCTGCAAGCTTTTAAGACCCCAGTCACAACTCACCAAAGTACAATGTAGAACAGTATTTTTATTTAGTCTGCTATGTCAATTGAGCTCGATGTGTCCCATGACCATTGTCCTGAGCCCACAAGTCCAACCACTTGCTCCATCAGGGTGGTTGACAGTGCCTAAGTTATCATAACTTTGCCCCCTATTAGTTCTATTTATTTGAACATTTTTACAGCCAATATAAATATGCATGTACAAATATCATCTGCCAACCTTATATATGGTCATGGGTATATTCCCTTTTGCCTAGACATACCTGATCATTCAGCCTATCTACCCATCTATTTACCTGTAGATTAATATTTGTTATCACTGATAATGCACTATTGTATATATAAAAGTGTTTATATGTGTTGCCTGTACCTCTTGTGCACCTCTCTGTGTCTTCCTTTTCCTTAGTATTATTGTGTTGGTCACTTGATTTGGTATATTGCCTTTCCCTTCATCCAAATCAATATTTGTCTCTTACCTACCCAGCAATATTCCCTCCTCTCCCCTCCCATTCCTGGTAACCAACAAAGAAATTTTCCTTCCATGCATAAACCTTTCCTTGACTTTTTACAATAGTGAACTAATACAACATTTGTCCTTCTGTGATCAACTTATTTCACTCAGCATAATGTCCTCCAAGTTCATCCATGTCATGCAGTGTTTTGCAGAATCTATATTATTATTTAGTGGAACATAGCATTCCGTTGTGTGTATGTACCATAGTTTTGTTATCCATTCTTCTGTTGATGGGCACTTAGGTTGTTTCCATCTCTTTGCTGACAAGGATTTTTTTTTTTTAAATTGTGATTTGGGTGAAGATTTACAGAGTAAATTCACTTTCCATACAGCAGTTCATATATACTTTGTCTCATGTCATTGACCACGGTTTACCACAATGTAACAGCTCCCTTCCCATTTCCTCCCCATACTTACCTCTTCCCAGTGTCCATCCCTCCATACATTCCTGCCCCCTGAGCTGTCTCCCTATGCATAAGCAGCCCTTCTTTTTCCCATGAGTGTTCTCTCCAAGGAGTGTATCTACTTGAGGTAAATGTTCAACTCATATGCCTGTATTTTGTTTGGCTGGAAACCACAGGTGTGGGTTCAATTCCAGACCTGAAGGGCAGCTAAGGGCCATAGTCTCAGTGGTTCCACCAGGCTCTCTTGGACCAGCAAACCTGGTCCACACCTTTTTTTTTTTTTTTCTCCAGACACTACATGGTTTAAAATCAAGAAGGGAGTGCGTCAGGGTTGTATTCTTTCTCCACACTTATTCAATCTATATGCTGAGCAAATAATCCGAGAAGCTGGACTATGTGAAGAAAAATGTGGCATCAGAATTGGAGGAAGAATCATCAACAACCTGAGATATGCAGATGATACAACTTTGCTTGCTGAGAGTGAGGATGACTTGAGGTACCTACTGATAAAGGTTGAAGAATACAGCCTGCAGTATGGATTATGTCTCAATATAAAGAAAACAAAAATCCTCACAACTGGACCAATGACCAGCATTACAATAAATGGAGAGAAGACTGAGGTTGTCAAAGAATTCATGTTGCTTGGCTCTACTATTGATGCCAATGGAAGCAGCAGTCAGGACATTAGACAATGCGTAGCACTGGGAAGGTCAACCGCGAAGGAACTGTTTCATGTGCTGAGGAGCAAGGATGTCTCCTTGGGGACTAAGGTGCACCTGACACAAGCCATGATATTTCCAATCGCCTCGTATGCATGTGAGAGCTGGACAATGAATAAGGAAGACTGAAGAAGAGTTGATGCTTTTGAGTTGTGGTGCTGGTGAAGAATGCTGAAAGTACCATGGACTGCTAAAAGAACTAACACATCTGTCCTCGAGAAAGTGCACCCAAAATGCTCCTTGGAAGCGAGAATGGCCAGACTTTGTCTCACCTACTTTGGTCATGTTGTCAGAAGGGACCATTCCCTGGAGAAGGATGTCATGCTTGGTAGGGTGGAGGGTTGACGAAAAGGGGAAGGTCTTCAATGAGATGGATTGACATGGTGGTTGCGATGATGGCCTCAAGTATAGCAGGGATCATGGAGCTGGCACGGGATCGGGCAGTGTTTCGTTCTGCTGTGCATGGGGACTTTGAGTTTATCTCTATCAGTTCCCCAGCAAGGGGGGAACTTCCTGTGTATGATAAATGCCATCTACCTAACAACACCATGTGTCTAGCTTGCATAGGAAAAATGGTGATTACATTAAAGTGGTGATGGATAGGAATTTTTCATATGACAGTAATAAAGATGGAGAGAGAATGACAGGGACTTTATAAGAGGAGAGTAATGTTATATGTCTCCAATAACAATATGGAGATAGCAATGTAGAGTTAAAACAGAACACTGCCTCTACTTTTGGGTTCTATGACAAGTAAAACATGTCTGAATAAAAATTTTATTTTGAGGGTTATTTATTTAGAAGGGGGTATGGGGATCAATCTGTGAATAAATTGACAGTGTAGAGTAGATCCTAGGTGATGAAATGAGTGTCCTGGAAGAAAGGGTAAGGGATCTATAAAAAAAAGAATGCTGAGGAGGAAGAAGTCTCAGACAGGACAGTGATGAGAGAAAATAAGGGTGAGATGGCCAGAGGTCTGCATTTTGGCTGATGGTGAAAGAAAAGTGGGAGGAGATGTTACATGGACTGCTCTCAAGATTTTTAGTCAGACTGAATCCCAAGTGGTGCAAGAGCCTTATGAGGTTAGCAATTTATATAGGCTTTACTTATCATATAAAAAGAATGTTGCTGAGAATTTACTTGTTAAGTTGTGTTTCAAAAGATGCCTTCCTCAGGCTGTTAAAGTAAAAATGTACTTATGCTCATTGCATATTTGAAAATGTATATATAGATACGTGTGTGTGTGTGTGTGTGTGTGTGTATACACATATATATAACTCAAAATCCACCTTGGCACATTCTTACTCTACACCCATTAGCATTCTAGGCACAATTGGAACACATACAAAAAATCTTTCATCCTTGACTCTTAGGAGTTCCTTCTCTAAATAAAATATGAGAAAATGCATACAATTTACCTCAGGTCTGTGAGCTTTGGAAGAAGTCTTTTTTTCCCACTAAAGTAGACCTCAAAATCTTCAGTCTTTAGCCTATGAGCATAGTCGATGTATCCTGACACCTCCTGCCCATGAGTATTTCTGTCACGAATAAAAATCACAGACTGAAACACAGAACAATAGAGAAAGGAAAGAGTAAATGAATAAAAATCACTTGAGAAAAATGTGTATACTAAGAAGGACTATAGTTATGGAGTATGACATGTGCTCAGACCTATTCTAAACATTTTACATTTCATTCTCACAATGATCCTATGAGGTAAGTACTCTTATTTTCTCCTGACTGATGAAGAAACTTATAAAAGGTCAACTGAGCATGCACATAATATGCTTTTACAATAATTTTACATACAACATCAATAGATAATTCTTACAGAATGCCTCCTAAGAACAGATATTATTTTAAATGTTTTTCATACACTAACTTACTTACTCTTCCTCTACTTCTATTGTCTTCATTTTGGTTTCATTTTAGAGATAAGGAAACTGAGGAACAGAAAAGTTGAGTACCTTCCCCAAGGTCTCACAGCTAGTAAGTGGCAAAACTAAGATTCAAACTCAGCCTCTGTTTGCCTAACCACTGCATTTTTTTCCCATTTAAACGTGTAAATATTTTCTGTTATAAAGAAATAAATGGAGTCCTTTCACCTCATTACCATGAGAGCTAAAGAATCTCTTTACAAAATAAACTTCATCAGTCAAAATTATTCAGCAAATGGTATTCTTTAACATATTTTTCACTCATATATAAATAGTTTCACAAATACCATTGAACAACTACTTCATAGTAGACATTGTTGTAGACACCAAGGATTCTATAATAAGCAAAAACAAAGTCGTGATCTTTCAGAACTTGTACTGAGACAGAAATTAAGCATGGGGGGGGGAATTCCTGTGTATGATAAATGCCATGAAGTAAATAAAGATGATAACTGACTAGAGAATGAGTTAATGGGTTGTTGGTATCAAAAACTTCTTTAGATAATCAGAAAAGACCTTGAGGATTTAAGCCAAGACCTGAAGGATGAGTGGAAATAAACCATGTAAATATCTGGAATAAGAACACAACAGGCAAAGAGAATGGCTGGAACAAAGGCCCTAAAGTGAAAACAAGGTAATGCAAGTGGCAGAATTATAGTATTTTTTCCTTCAAGTTAACAGACATTGTTCTCATTGTAGATTTTTTTTTTTTTTAATAAAAGGAAGAAAAAGAAAACAAAAAATACTACTGTAATTTGAAAGTCCCTTAATGCATTTATTTCCAAATCTAGATCAAAGTGTAGAATTCCATAGCAAAATTCTATGTCAGGCAGAGTCTGTAAATAAACCTTCCTTTTTCACTGTTACTTGTCTTGCTGTATAACTCATTGCCATCAAGTGGATTCCAACTCATAGCGACCCCCAATGGATTTCTGAGGTGGTAAATCTTTACCAAAGTAGATTGCCCCATCTTCCTTCTGTGGAGCGGCTGGTGGGTTTGAACTGCCAACCTTCCAGTTAGCAGGCAAATTCCTTAGGCACTGAGCTGCCAGTTGCTGAATAGTCAATTACAATTACTTTTTACTATATTAATGTTTGTGATAACAGGCCAAAGAGCTTCCAAAAGACTTAAGTTAGAAAATTGAAAGGATTATTTCTCCCCACTGCACCTATTGTTGCTTACAACATCCTTATTAATAATCGAAGAAGAGAGACATAATTTACCATAAACTGTTATTGTGCTGATAGTTTTCATCCTATTCTGGTTGTTTGGGCATTGGAGGCTAAAAATACTGTGCTCAGAAGGATTCTGAGGCATCTTCTTCTTTCAAGGGGAAGGTGCATTGTGATTAGATTAGTGGTATTTCCCACAGATGTAGCAATGTTGTTGTTGTTATGTGCCATCAAGTCAGACCCAACTCGATAGCAACCCCTCCTTGGTTTCTGAGGCAGTATCATTATAGACGTAAATTGCCCCATCTTCCTTCCAAGGAGTGGCTGGTGGGTTTGAACCATCAGCCTTCTGGTTAGCAGTCAAGTGTCTTAGGCACTACACTACCAGATCTCCCGATGTAGCAATAGGAACTAGCATTTGTTATTAGGCCTGTGCTAAGTGTTTTATAGTTTTCAATACTTAGTCATTCTCATTTCTCCCATATAACTCCAAAGGAAATTTATATCAGTTTTTCTATGCTTTCAGACAATTCTTTTGTCTGTGAAGCACAAACTCTAAGTGGCTAGTAACTCAAAATGACTTCCCAAGACTCTCATACTAGTAAATTCATAATTAACACTGCTTACTCTTCTTAACCAATGCCATGATATATAATTATAAATATTTCATAAGCAAGCCTGCAGGTGCTTGGCGCCTTTTCACCATCAAGGCTTCTTCTGATGTCAGGTAAGTCACAATTACTTAAGAGAACAATCGGCCCAAAGTAGTTTCTCTACTTTCAGAATGGAACTCTAATGACAGAAAAAGAAAAATCTCTCTTTTCTTTTTCTCTTTTAAATGGAGGAATAATCAACTTCCCCTCCCTCCAATAGAATGGCATACCAGATATTCTGACTTATTTTATGCTAAAACAAATAAAAACACTGGATAAAATCTAAAACACAACTTGTAAAATGCACTGATACGCTGGCAAGAATATAAACAATATTCAGTGTCCAAAAACTAAGTAAAAGTAGGAACCTATAGAGGAAAGCAGAGCCCTAAAGTCAGTTTTGCCCTGTAGACATTTGCCCAACCCCAGAAAATTTGAACAGGGATTTCCTGACCTTATACAGTAAGGGGTAACAGGAACCACTCCTGTACACACCTAGTACTTCAGGGAGAGAAACTGACAGGATTAATTACCTCAACATAAAGCTAAGAAGTCACAATACACTGAAATAATATTTTCAATGTGTCAAGAGAAAATAAGAATTATCTTAGAATTATATAAACAAACAAACAAACAAACACAAAAAAAAAAAAACTCACTGCCATTGAGTGGGATCCAACTCATAGCAACCCCTCCTTGGGTTTCCAGGGCAGTATCTCTACAGAAGTAGATTGCCCAATCTTCCTTCTGAAGAGTAGCTGGTGGGTTTGAACTGCCACCCTTCTGGTTAGCAGTCAAATGCCTTAGGCACTACACCTATGGTAGTGTTTTTGCCAGGGATCCCTGGCAAAATATCTTTCTAGTGATCAAAACACAGATATTTTCAGAAAAAAAAGAAAATGAGAGACTTAGCCAAAAACAGAATCTTATTCAAAGAAATTCTGAAGGATGTACTTTAGACAACAGGAAAATGATTGATCCCAGCTGAAAGGTGAAAGATCCAAGAAACAATGCTGACCAAAGAACATGGTAAATATATGGGTAAATATAAACAAATATTGACTATACAAAATAATCATAACAATGTCTTCTAGAATTAATAAAAAATACTGTCCAAAATTTCTGAAATATACATGTATGTTTGAAAGGGTAATCAGAGCTAACGTATTGAAATTTCCTTCCAATTTTCTGAATGAGGGAAGATATACTGATTAATTTTAAAATTTCTTAAGTATGCATGTGTAAGCCTTGGGTGATTTTTATAGAATAAGAATTAGTGTACATTATCTTTAAATTTTTAGAGAAAAAATGATATAATATTGTCAAATCAGTGGAATAGAAGGCAAGAAAGAAGTGGAAAAATATAGAAGAGATAGGACAAATCAAAGACATAAAATAATAATAATAATAATTGAAATATCTAACTAATTACAATAAATTTAGTTGGCCAAATTTTATGCAAAAAGACAAAGGTTATGGGAGTGGAGGTTTTAAAAATACTCCATAAAAGATAAAAAGCCCCAAGTGGTTGAAAGTTAAGTAGTCCAAGAATGTATAAATGAACATTTTCAACCACAAGAGAGTTAATATCAACAAGTTAATATTAGATAAATTGACTTAAGACAAAAATCTTTACTAGATGGTGAGTCATTGCATAATGATAAAAGATTCAATTCATACAAAGATTTAACGATGCTAAACTTCATTGGACTTTTAAAATGTAGCCTCAAAATATTAAAGCAAAAACTGATTCAAACTACAAGGATAGACACACAAGCCACCATCAAATCGGTAAATTTATCCTTCCCATTACCTGCTAGATCAAGCAGAGATAAATACATAGCTATTATAACATTAATATAAATTTTAAAGAGTTGAAATCACAAGTCTAAATGCTTGGGTTTCACTACGGGCAGGTACTTTAACTTCCTTATTCTTTAATGTTTTTATGACTAAAATGATTGGCAGTCTAAAACGACCTATTTTAGGCCATTATTTCACTATTTTAAATTGTTATATATACCCCTCCCATATCAGTTAAGTCTCCCTGACAATGGAAATGTTATTGAATTATTTTAAATTTCACTTCTCCAGCCCTGAGAGTTAAGAGACTGCTCTGAGAATTTTGAATTCTGAGGTTTTCTAATGCTAGAGTACTAGTGAGGCCAAACTGGATGTGAGTGTAGGTATCACCAGGTTTTTTGGGCAAGTTACTCAAATGCTTAAAGTGTCTCTGATATTAATAAGCCATACACCCTCAAGTTGCTGTTGTTGCTGTTGTTAGGTGCTGTCAAGTCAGCTCTGACTCATGGTGACCCTATGCACAGAAGAACAAAACTCTGCTGGGTTGTCCATCATCTTGACAGTCCTTGCTATACTTGTGCCCATCGTTAAAGCCACTGCATTTATCCATGTTGAGGGTCTTCCCCCTTTTCACTGATCCTCCACTTTACCAAGCATGATATCCTTCTCCAGGGAATGGCCCCTTCTGACAACATGGCAAAAAGTAGGTGAGATGAAGTCTGGCCATTCATGCTTCCAAGGAACATTCCGGCTGCATTTCTTCCAAGACAGATTTATGCATTCTACTGGCAGTCCATGGGAGCTCTCATGGTGTAGTGCCTAAGGCATTTGACTACTAACTAGAAGGCTAACAGTTCAAACACACCGCCCACTCCTCAGAAGGAATATTGGGCAATCCACTTCTGTAAAGATACTGCGTCAGAAACCCACGGAGGAGTTGCTATGAGTCGGATCCGGCTGGAGGGCAGTGAGAATTTTTTTTTTTTTGGCAGTCC